ACAGTAACTAGATTAATAGATCCTTAGGGCTATCGATTGTGATGATTGCTGTTTTTGATTTCTTTAAACCATTGAATTGTATAGTATATGAAGTATATGTCAGTAAGAAGGTTAAAAAAGATTACAACCTCAAAACCCAATAAAGCAGCTCTACTCTGCCCTATAGTATCACGGTGAGTTGAAATTGACTCAAGGGCAATGGATTTGGGTTTGGTTTGGATCTATTGGTGAGAATAGCTGGTATTCTGATTAATGGAAGAATAGCTTACTCTAAGTAGGCCATTTATATCATCAATGGTACTCTTTCTCCAAGATTATCACTAAAAAGCCAAAATATGCCCAGAAGTTTACATATCCACAGTAGCCCATATTGGCTCTTGGAGTGTGACACTCTATGGTAACCGAGGTTCTTGAGGAGTACGCTGACAACTTGAGGAACAAAAGTCACTTCCTAAGAACCAGACTCTGTACTGTATGATTTGCTATGTGTTCTCTGGTGAACAAGTGGGTTTATAGCGTGCCTAATGGAAGAGAGATATTCTAATGCAGAAAAAGAACCCTACATCAGGCTCTTGTGGTATAGACAGCTGTTTTCAAACTCTCGGAGGGGCCAAAGCACTTTGTTTTCTATCTATTTTACTTATTTGTTTTGTGATAATTTCACAGCTAGAAAAAAAGTTTGAAATTCATAAGATCTATGTGAATGTTCTTTGTCTAGCTCTTTGTATTCTGATTCTCTGTTCTGTAAGTAACATCTTTTGCAAATAAACATCTATGTTCTTTGGATAGTGGACACCAAACTTTAGTCACTGAAAAGTTGTATTTCCCATTACTAATTGATAACTGACTCTTAGTATCAGAAAAGGCCAGAGGACTGGAGTGCTGAAAGAAGACAGCTGCTAACTATAATTCTGGTTCCAACAAAATGATCTTTCAAGAATGAAGCAAAACAAAGCCTTTTTTTTCTTCCCCAAGATTAATTGAGTTAAGATGACTTGCCTCCAGTAAACTGTCATTGATGGAAATTTTAAACAAAGTACTTTGATTAGAACAAAAGTGCTCCTGGGTGAAAAGAGAGAAAATAATATAAATGAGAGGGATAAATGTCACTGATTCTTGACTGCATAAAATAATAACAGATGGTACCTGGCTATCAGAAAGAAAAGCACCTGGAGTTTAATTGGCATTAATAACTTTTGGAGTTTAAAAAAAAGAGCATTAGCATATGCAAAAACAATAACATAAACTGGGAGGAGAGTTAAATGGAATTAAAATGTTCTAAGGGCCTGTAATTAATGATTCAAGAAGAAGGAAATATCTGACTTTGTTAAGTTAGAAATAGGTGTTATAATTTCTAGCGCTTTTCTGCCCAATATGGTAGCCAAGCATGACTATTTACATTTAAATAAAATTTAAAATTTGTATCCTGAGTTGGACTTGCCGTATTTCATTTGGTCAAGAGCCACATAGATTTAGAATCTTTCTGTCCTGCTTAGTAATACTCAGTAATACATTTCGGTGCTATAATTATAAAGATGTCAGTTCTCCCTAAAGTGAATTATAGTTTCTCAAACAGAATTTCAAGAGATTTCGGGGAAAGGGTTATGAAAATGTGACAAACTGATCTAAACTTTATGTGAAAAATTTTAAAAAACAAGAATAAAAAGTCAAGATATTCTTCAAACAGAAAAAGACTTGCTCTTCTAAAAATATTTAAAATATTCTCTGCAATGACAAATATTCTAAATCGATGTGGTCGTATAATTAAATAATTTTAAAATATATTTTTAAGTTGTGTAATCCTCACAATCAATTTTAGAACATTTTTTCTTTCTTGAACTCATTATCACCCTACCCCCTAAAACCTTCCCTGCCATACCCCTAAGAAAAATTTTAAAAATTATTTTATTGGGGGTTCATACAACTCTTATCACAATCCATCCATCCATCCATTGTGTCAAGCACATTTGTACATTTGTTGCCATCATCATTTTCAAAACATTTTCTTTCTACTTAAGTCCTTGGTATCATTTTTTCCCCTCCCTCATGACCGAGCGCTGTCTCCTCTCACCCACTTTTTTGTTGTCGGTCCCCCTGGGAGGGGGTTATATGTAGATCATTGTGATCAGTTATCCCTTTCTCCCCCGACCTTCCCCTTACCCTCCTGGTATCGATACTCTCATTATTGATCCTGAAGGGTTTATCAGTCCTGAATTCCCTGTGTTTCCAGTTTCTATGTACCAGTGTACATGCTCTGATCTAGCCAGATTTGTAAGGTAGAATTGGGGTCATGATAGTGGGCAGGCGGGGAGCATAACTAGAACAAATTTAAAATGTGTCAAAAGAATTTGTTCATTTAGATAGTAATTATTTTAAAGCTGTTATTAAGAAAATATAACAGAATTGCATTTCTGATTAGATTAATAGAGAATAGAGAGGTCATTAGTGGTCATATATATGTAGACAGAATTAAGGCCCTGTGGAGAAATGGGGAAAGGTGGTTCTTTCAATAAAGATGCTAGAACAATTAAACAGGAACAGGGGCGGGGGGATGAAATTGTTTCTCCCAGTTCACATCATGAAACATTATTCTCTGTAGCAAAACATCTAAATTTGATAGAGAAAAGAAATACAAGAATATCTCCCTAACCATACAATACAGAAAGAGTCTAAAACAAAACACAAAAGCATTCATTATAAAGGACACAGTGATTAATATGACTGCATTAAAATGGAAAATTTGTGTTCATTCAAAGACATCTCAAAAAAGAATGTATTGGTATAGACTATGATTGTAACCAAGAAAGGACTAGTATCCAGAACATGTGAAGGACTAATACGCAGTTGGGCTCATACAAGTAATTTTAAAACACTTTTATTGACATATAGTTTACTTATCATACAATTCAATAGTTTAGTCACATCAAGGTGAGTTGTACAATCACCACCACAATTTGTTTAGAACATTTTCTTCATTCTTGTACTCATGGTTATTAGCTCCTCATTTCCCCCCCAACCTCCCCTGCCGTATCCTCAAGGAATATCATATACAGAAAAACATTTAAAAACAAACACAAATAAAAAACTAACAAGAATAACAAATAGAACAGATAAAATCCTCAATTGAAAAGAAAGCAGAAAATAATAACATGTAGACCATTTCAGTGGACCATAAGGGAAATCAAGTGATAGAGTGCTAAATTTTACTCTGACTGCATCTGCGACAATCCACTTTCCAGCACACTCTGTATTTCAGCACAGCTGCTCACAGCCCTGCACCTTGGTCAGAGGGGATGGACCAGGGGCTTATTTCCCCTTCCCCTTTTACTTTTTTAACTGAAACAGCTTTAAAGTAGGTCAAAAAGGAGATCCGATGATAATGTACTACACTTTAACTGTGTGTGACATAATCAACTTTGCAATACCCTTTGTCTGATAGCAGGGCTATTCACATCCATCCCTCCGCTGTGATCAGAGGGGATTCACCAGAGGCTTATCCATGTGTGGATCTTGCAAATGGATTTTGGGTTTCAAATGTCATCCATAGCTTTCTACAAACCATGTGTTCACAATTTAAGCTCTGATACCATTCCCTCCTGTAAATTTGGATTTTATTATTTACAATCCTTGCATCACACAGGCTGCTGTACTACTTCATTGTGGACTTGTCTGATGCCTCACTTAGATGGCTGCTTGTTTAAAAGCAAGCTTTAAGACCCCAGAGGTTTTTCTTTTTGAAAGCCAGTCACCATCTAGTTTCTTTCTTTCATGTTTTTTACAGTTTTTTTGGCACATAATCTACATATCATACAATCATTACCCCTATCAATTTTAGAACATTTTCTTTTTTTTTTTTAATGTTTAAATTGCTTTTAAAATGAGTTGTGTAATCGTAAATCTAGAACTCCCTCCCAGGGGGACAAATAACAGAAAAGTGGGTGAGGGGTGATGGAGGACAATGTGAGATATGGAAATAATAATCTACAACTTATCAAGGGTTCATGAGGGACAATGGGCAGGGGAGGAAGGGGGAAGAAATGAGGAGCTGATATCAGGGGCTCAAGTGGGAAGAGAATGCTTTGAAAATGATGATGGCAGCATATGTGCAAATGTCTTTGACACACTGGGTGAATGTATGGATTGTGATAGATGTAAGAGCCCCCAATGAAAGTATTTTTTTTAATTAGTTGTGTAATCACAATCAGTTCTAGTGCTCCCTCTCCCCTCATGCATGCATTATTTGCTCCCCCAACTTCCTCAACCTCCCTCTCTCCCATCTCCCATTCCCACCCCCTATAAACCTTTGCATCTGTTATTATCTCTATCTACCCCTCCTGTGCTTCACAAACTGGAAAACCCAACAGAAACAATAAAAAAACAGGAAATAAAGTGGTAAGGGTAAAATAATAATAATATAAAGATAAAATACATACAAATAATGAGTAAGAAATGAAAGACCACCATCCGTATTTAGAAAGCCAGGGAAGACATTTTTGTCATGGAACAAGCAAGAAATATTTGCATCTACAACAACTTCAGGTTGGGTCAAGAGGGAGGTCAACTGACCAAGTATTAAATTCAATCCAGTATAATCCAGGATAACAATGATCTCTATCTGATAGTAAAACTGTTTGAGATGCTTGCCTGTGGCTAAAGGGGATCAGCCAGCAACTTGATCTGACTAAATACTCTGCAAATAGGTTTTGGGCTCCCAATGCCCTCCGTAATCTTCTACAAATTGGATGCTCACAATTTAAGCCCTGGTACATGTCCCTTTGTCATATTGAATTTTTATTATTGTCATCTTTGAATCACACAAGCTGGTGTGCTTCTTCCATGAGGCCTTAGTTGAAAATGCATGGGTGTTGATTTTAACATTGGGGTCTTTTTTTTTGCTGGGTTTTTTTTTCATAGATACAATAATCTTTCATATTTTGTATTGTGTTTCCCTGCTGGTTACTGTTTTAAGTTTTCTCATGAGCGGGTCCTTTGTTTCCCAGACGGATGACATCGTGCAGGCCGTTGGTAACTGCAGCTACAACCAGCTGGTCGAGAAGATCATCTCCTGTAAGCAGTCAGACAGCAGCGAGCTGGTTAGTGAAGGTGGGTGAGTGCTGCTGTTTATTACCTGACTCTCTTCCTTGCAGTCCAAAAAATACAGATGATGCTAGTGTTAGGGATTCAAGACGTAATCACCCAGAAAGGTTCCAGTAAAAAGGTTAAAACCTCTTTGACTTATAAAATCAGATGGGGATTCTAATGCAGGTTTTTAGTGAGCCTTACTGTGATGACCTTCTTTTCCTTTACAAAAGGAATGCTACTTGGGAGTACTGAGTGAACTTTATAATGCCCATCGAACATTGCCACGGGCTGAGATGAGTCTTATGGTGCTCAAGGGTTTTATTTTAGTAGAGCATTGTCTTTTTTTTTTTTAAATCATTTTACTTTGGTGGCTCTCACAGATATTCTTTTGAAAAATCTCAAATCTATAGAAATGGAAAAATTGCAAATGAACCATTATATATATGTTCTTTACTTAAATTTACTTTTTATGTATTATATGCTTTCTTTTTATATTCCTATACATGCACACACACTTTGTCCCAAGAGTGTGAGAATTAGTTGCAATAATACACGCATCTAAAAAAAAAAAAAATAATACACGCATCACTTTACCCATTAATCCTTCAGAATGCGTATCTCATATAATCACTGTACAGTTATCCCAGGAAATTTAGCATTGACACCTATCATGGGCTAATATGCTGTTTATATCCAGAACTTTCTAGTTGTTCCACTGCCCTCCTAGTTTTTACCGTTTTCTCAACCTCAGCACTCGTCGAGGAACATTTCATTTCCACATTACTATAGGCTCTTGTGATGCAGGACACATTCTTAGTTTCTTAGTGCTGCCTTAACAAAAATGTCACAAGGGGTGGTTTTAATAAATCAATTGATTTTCTCATAGTTTGGAGGCTAGAAGTCTAAATTCATGACATCAGCTCTAGAGAAAGGCTTCCTTTCTCTGTTGGCTCTGGGAGGAAGGTCTTTGTCTCTTTTTAACTTTTGTTCCTTAGTTCCTAACACACACACACACACACACACACACACACACACAGACATACAAACCCACTGCCATTGAGTCAATTCCAACTCATATTGACCTTGTGTAAGGCTTTTGAAGCTGTGAATCTTTATGAGAGTAGACAGCTGCTTCTTCTTCCCACAGAGGAGCTAATGGGTTTGAACCTCTGACCTTGCAGTTGGCAGTCCAGTGCTTACCTGACAGCACCACCGGGGCTTTATTTTCCCTGACCTGTGCTTTGCCCAATGAGCTCTTTTCTGTCTCAAAAATGATTGTCGTTAAATAAAAATTTTAAATTATAAATAAATATTAAATTCATTTGCAGAGGGGGGAAATGTCATAATACACAACCTACTTTGGTAATTGCTTCATTGCATAACAGAAGATCCGATGCCAGGTGAATTCCAGCGATAGGTAAAGAGGTTAAAATGTATACCATTCTGGGGGGTAGGGGAGCTCAATCCAAAGATCCCTAGCATTTCCTTTTTTCTTCCTTATCTTCTGCTTTGGTCTTCTGTAGTATTGATTTTTCTTTTACTAGCTATCACAGGGAGTTTTGTAGAAGACACCGCAAGTTTACTCCAGCTGATTGTGTTCTCATGATTCTATTCAGGTTATGTGTTTGAGGCAGGAATATCCTTACCAAGGCATCAAATCAGGCTACATGTTGCCTATTTATCTTATTAACGCTGATATTCAAAATAGTGCCTGCTAGAAATGTAAAATTAATGAAGATACTCTTTCATTATAATTAATAAATAATCTGTACTTACCTAATTCCCTGAACATTTTTTATCTAATATGTTGCATGTTTATTAGTTCATACTTGATCCAATTATTATAGTGGTTAGATTTTTCTTATTTCATTTACATTCATTGTACTTTGCAAATGTACGTTTATATTCATACTTTTATTTCTTCTTTTAAAACATTTTCTCTTCTCCTTTTCCTCCCCTAATTTAAAAAAAATGTTTATCCATAGAGACTCATGTATTCTATCTATCTTATTCAATAAGTTATCCATTATCATCTTCATTCTTTTTGATGCTGAAATTGTCCCAAAATTGATCAGCAGGATACCCCATGTTCTTTTGACACGTCCTAATTATTCTCCTTGAATACTCTTTTTCTGGCACCATAAGATATCTGGTTCCAATGGATCAAGTCATATGAACCTCCATATTTCCAAAAACACTTAGGAATTTGTTATATTAAGAGTGTTTTGTTCCATCTTTTTGAGGAAATATATTGTTAATGATTCATATCTGAAACATGAAAACATAAATGAAAATTTTTTAATCATTTTATTGGGGGCTTGTACAACTCTTTTCACAATCCATGCATCCATTGCGTCAAGCACATTTGTACATTTGTTGCCATCATCATTCTCAAAACATTTGTTTTCTTTCTACTTGAGCCTTTGGTATCAGATCCTCATTTTTTCCCCTCCCTCTCCTGCCCCCGCCCCCACGAACCCTTGATAATTTATAAATTATTATTATTTTGTCATGCCTTACACTGTCTGACATCTCCCTTCACCCACTTTTCTGTTTTCTGTCCCCCAGAGAGGGGGTTATATGTAGATCCTTGTACTCAGTTCCCCCTTTCTACCCCACCTTCCCTCTACCATCCTGGTATCGCCACTCTCACCACTGGTCCTGAGGGGTTCATCTGTCGTGGATTCCCTGTGTTTCCAGTTCATATCTGTATCAGTGTATATCTCTGGTCTAGCTGGATTTGTAAGGTAGAACTGGGATCATGATAGTTGGGGGGGAGGAAGCATTTAAGAACTAAAGGAAAGTTGTATATTTCATCATTAATTGACTGCCTTGTCTCCTGCCCGGACCCTTCTATAAGGGGATGTTCAGTTGCCTACAGATGAGCTTTGGGTCTTACTCTGCTCTCCCACTCATTCACAATGATATGATTTTTTTGTTCTTTGTTGCCTGATAACTGATCCCTTCAGCACCTCGTGATCACACAGGCTGGTGTGCTTCTTCCATGTGGGCTTTGTTCCTTCTGAGATAGATGGCTACTTGTTTGTCTTCAAGCCTTTAAGACCCCCAACGCTATATCTTTTGATAGCTGGGCACCATCAGCTTTCTTCACCACATTTGCTTATGCACCCGCTTTGTCTTCAGAGATCGTTGATAATTTTACCTAATTTTTAGTGCCCAGCTTTCAGAACACTTAGTACTTTCAAGTTCTTTAAGAGCTCTCTGGTAGGAGGAAAATATTTTGATGTACTTGTTTGTTATTGAATTTCTGATGGGAAAGTATATTTTTCACTAATGCCTTCAGCAAAATAATTTTACTTTGAATTTACTTCCAGTACTAGTTTTATTACTAGCCTTATATTAATTTTTACCTTATTTTATTTAATAATCTTCAATAATATTTGTAACAAGATGTACACATAATCTGAATGCTGTAAATGAGCAACTTGTTATTTGAGACAGTAGACTATTCAAACAAATATGGACAGGCAAACTACTGTTTAGCTCTCAGAGTTTGTTAACCAAATATATTTAATTAGCTATGAAAAGTTGAAATTAGATTAGCCTTTTTGAATATCCCAATGATATCACAAGGATGTTCCTATCTAGGAGTGGCAGAAGAGATAGGAAGTGTTATTCTTTGTAAGCTTTAAAGAGGCCTTGTTTCATGGTTTGGTGAGAAATAGAGCTAAGTTGGCATTTGTAATCATCATCTCCATTCATTTTTTTAATATAAAACCATAATTTTCTTGGGTTCCAGTCTTCAATTTGCCATAGCTAAGTTTATGTTTTGGGGCAAGATACTTACTCTATTCTCCCTGAGCTGCTGCCCTTTTATGAAAAGGAATTGCTGAGAACAAGCCATCTAGTGTTAGCATTTTGAATTTCTGACTCACATGAAAGTAACATTGCAAAGTATCACTTCTGAAGTTTTGTATCTTTTTGAAAGAGGGTCCTGGTGTGAGTGAGGGCTGGGAGGGGTGTTTAGATGCTCTTTTTTTTTTCTGAAGAAAAACATTTAGTAAATGGACATTTCAGACAACAATGATACTACCCAGCACAGGTATAATGATTACTTTTTAAAATACTGTAATAAATTATTTAGAGTACCACTAATATATTCTGCTTAATATCTTAGTACTTTGCAAAGTAATAATAATCACAGTAATAATTGGGCAGGGGAGGAAATGTTCCATTCCTAAGTGTATGAACCCAAGAGGTTGTAGGTGCATACACTTGCTTTGGCAATGTTTTTTTCCAGGGGCTTTTTGCACTTTCCCTCCGCCAAGTTCCTGGAATAGTGTGCTGTACTGGTAGCTTTTTGCAACCTCCTTTCAGCCTGAAAGTGAGGGGAAGGGTGGAGAGGGAGTGCGATAAACCCACACAGTCCAGCTCTTTGACCCTGATCACACATGGGTCCAAATTTCGTCCAGGTGTATTGTTTCTTAGTACAGACTCCTCCTCACTCGCTCTGCCACTGCTGCTAACAAGGAAACCTTCCTTTTCGCCTCAGAGACATTGTCTCCTTACTAGGGGAAGGAGTGAAAGGAGGGCAGGAGAGAAAGAAGGAAAGAAATGGTTCCCGAACATTTTTCTGTGAACTTTTTGAAAGCTCCTGATATGTCTGTGTCTTTTAAATTACCCTGGAAAACGTGTATATATTTCGAAATCAGAACAAGTCATTTGTTCCCAGTTATCACAGCTGCCTGTGCAATCCCACACCTGCTTTTAGTCCTGCAGCAAGAATGGGCAGTTTGAGACTTGAGACTGATCTGCTATCTTCCTTAAAAACTTTGTAAAGACAGCATTTCATTTCTAACCATGTAGCCACTGGGAAGGAACATTGTGTCCATGGATGTTATTATGAGCTGCCAAAAACCCTTTTGGAAAGAGATGGAGTATTTATTGTGAACACACTGATTGACACAAAGAATTTCACGCAACTGTTTCTTAGGATGAGAATGTGCATGTATTTTCCATAGAAGAATTAGAAGAATCTCCAATTGGGGGCCATCATATTTTCCCAGGAAAAATCTCATTTTTATTGGTCTCTCTGTTATATCTGGAGTGCATTGTAAATAGCAAAGAATAATTTTTTAATCTTGAAATTATTCTTTTATCTAATATTATGCATTGGTTTTTTAGGCTTTGTTGCTGAGCAGTTTTTAAATAACACAGCCACTCAACTGACATACCATGGATTATGTGAACTAACGTCAACAGTTCAGGAAGGAGAACTTTGTGTGTTCTTTCGGAATAATCATTTTAGCACCATGACCAAATACAAGGTATGATCTAGAAATAGTTAATTCTCTGTAATCCTAAATTAAAGAAATTTGATATAGAGATGTCTTATGATATCCTTTAAAATAAAAGATTTTAGGATTAAATTTATTAACTATCAAATTGTGAAGAAACTTATTAAATAATTATTTATGGTGGAATGGAATAGCAATTTATATGTTAACCTCAAATCCATTTAAAAATTTTAAATTATATCTTATCTTTTTCACAAATGATTGCATTAAGGAGTATTTGTTATTTTAACTTCTAAGGAAAGATACAAAGATAAGCCATAAAGACAGAACTAGGATGACTTCTAATTATAGATGTTTATATTTAAGGGCTAAAGGAGTTGAAAGAATGAATCAAGGTTTGCTTGGATGATCATGTTTGCTATTAAAATAATCAGTGTGATTTTATAGTGCTATTTATGACTCTGCCAAAAATTTTCATTAGTCTAACTCTTTTGTTATCTTTGCATCCATTCAATGTTTTATAGCTGCCACCTAGCTCAAGATTTTGTGAATTTGTACTGAGACTTCTACATTAGAATACCACTCTGATCATGTCAATAATATAGCAAAAATATTCGGTAGCACCCAGTACTTAGAGGATAAACATCCAAGATAATTTCTACGATTCCCTTATGCCCACAATGCTTCAGCCGAACCAACCTGTCTTGCACCATGTCTACTTGATGCCTTTTCATTTCTGCACTTCTACAACCATTTCTATTGCTTAATTCCTATTTTGAAAGATCCCTGTGTTAGTATGGATAAAGTAGGGAAACAAATCCATAGAAACGTATATGTATAAGAGAGTTTTATATAAAGGGTAAGTGTACATTAAGAAAGCAACCCAACCCAGTGCTGTCCAAGCCCATAAATAAGTCCAACATTAGCCCGTATGTCCAACACCAATCTACAAAGTCCTCAATCTCACAAAACACACTCAATGATGCCGACTGCAGGAGGAAAGCCGAATCAGTGAGCGTGTAAGCATCTCAGCGCTGGCAGCACCCAGGGCTGCATTGGGCTAGGTCCATGTGGCTTCTCCCTGGGGATGTCTTGCAGGAAGTGAGCCTTGCCAGTTGAAGCAGGGAACTGGCTAAGGCAGCTTCACCCTGGTCCAACCTTCAGAAAGCAAGAGACCAGAGAACTAGAAAGGCGAGGCTCAGGGAGCCATTTATCTCTCCACCCTTCAATTTACCCGACGTGTTTATTGGCCAGGTTGGCACAATTAATCTTAACTATCTCAATCTCATTACTCCTTTTTGTTTATCCAAGTTTCATCCATTTTAAAAGAAGCATTTCAAATACTATCTCTTCTGTACAGACATTCTTTCACTTTAAACCAGTGGCTTTCATCCTAGACTGTATATTTGAACTATCTAAGTACCTTCAAAGAAGATACTAATGCTTAGAGCCCACCACCAGCTCAGTTAAATCAGAATCTCCAGATGAGAATTACAATCAGAATTATTTTTTTCTCTTTTTTACAATAAAAATTTTAAAAATAGTCCTAGGTGATTATAATGTGCAGTCAAGGCTGGGAACTACCATGCTACACATCTTTAGTCACTACTGTCCACAACATCTTTATTTGGAATTTATTGAAAGAAAACAGTTTTCTTTCCATATAAATGAGTCTTATTTTTCAAAATGAAGGTAAGCTTATTGAAGTCAAGACACACGTTTGTTTCCATAAACACTTACTGAATTCCACAAAGTAATGTAAAATAATGATTTGCTTGCTTATGTAAGAATACCCAAAGCCGGAACCAATTGCAAGGAACTATATGTGACCTCCTCCCTGGGGGACGGACAACAGAGAAGTGGGTGAAGGGAGACGTCGGACAGGGCAAGATATGACAAAAAAATAATTTATAAATTATCAAGGGCTCATGAGGGAGGGGGAATTGGGGAAGGAGGGGAAAAATGAGGACCTAATGCCGGGGGCTTAAGTGGAGAGGAAATGTTTTGAGAATGATGAGGGCAATGAATGTACAAATGCGCTTTACACAATTGATGTATGTGGATTGTGATAAGAGTTGTACGAGCCCCTAATAAAATGATTATAAAAAAAAAATACCCCAAGCCCTAGTTCTCCTATTCCTATCTTAGTTCCTGTCTTACAAAAGTAAGAGTTCATTTGTATTGCTCCCACGTTTCTGGTAGGTGTATGCTAAGAATTGCCCAAGAGTCATCTGTACTTGTCCAACATCTAAGGACAAAGTAACAGAGCGCCCTTACATCAGAATTAGAATGAGTTCACGTAGTGATTACTACTAAGTCATTTGAGCCACACCTGGCCTCTTCAGGCCAACCGTGATTCATTCATTAGCAGACACCTATGGGACATATAGAGAGGAGCAGGGGGACTTCAGAAAAGTTATTAGAAAAATAGAATTAAACAATAATGGAAAAGTAAATTAATGCAGATATAGTTAGATTAAATGTTAACATTTAGCATTTGTTTTCACTTTTGACTCATTTGTTCTAGGTTTTTTTCTAGTCTAATTTGTTCTCGTTTTTATTGTTTTCTGTTTTCTTGGATTGAGATTTTTCTATGTTTTTTATGTCATTTTATTAGGTGCTCATACCACTCTTATCACAATCCATACATACTCAGTTGTGTAAAGCACATTTGTACATTCATTGCCCTCATCATTCTCAAAACATTTGCTCTCTACTTAAGCCCCTGGAATCAGCTTCTCACTTTTTTCCCCTATGTTTTCTTTGGCCATTGTTGTTGGGGATTTTTTGGCATGATTTTCTTTGTGTGAAATCCAGAATAGGTACATCAGTAGAGAGAGTAACTAGATGAATAGTTTCTTTGAGTTATGGCAGGGGAGGTTGGAGGCAAAGGGGAGCTAATAATAATGAGTATAAAAATGAATAAATGTTCTACCATTGATCGATTGACTATGGTGATTGTAAAACTCTTTTAAATATAGTCAAGCCATTGAATTGTATGTGTTATATATCAATACTTTTTCTAAGGTAATGGAATTTTACACACATTTTTTAAGCCCCCTTGCGTATGCTTTGGGTTTTCAGCTAAGTATTAGGACCACAACTAAGAGCAAGAGAGCTGTGGTTTCTGCCATTTAAGAATCTCCTAACTTGACAAGGGAGGGGTCTCAAATAAAGATGTATACAGTCAATAAACGTATTTCTATTGAGAACTATTAGTCAAGGTACATGAAGTATGCTGTGAACGCTTTTATCAAGACTACAACCGAGTTGGGGTGTCAGGAAAGGCTTCCTGAAAAAGGCCACGTTGAAACTGAGAACGGAAAGTGAACCTTCCAGGAGAAAGAGGACCGGTGTGGCTGAAGCTTACCAAAGGAGAGTAAGAGAGACTGGAGAGAGACAGGTGACAGTCTCATGGACTCTTGAGTTAAGAGGAAAGTCACACTTGTTTTCCTGGTGGCTCTGTAGTTCTTGTCTTTCTGCCTTTTTGGCTCAATGGGCATGAGGTAGTTCAGCAGGAAAACAACAAGATCTCTGACTGTCAAAAATGAGCTCCCTATATTGCCCTTTCTGCCTAGACCATATCCCTGACCTACTAGCCTCTCAGCTAGTCTCAATCTTTTTACATAGAGCAATAAACACGTGGCTTGCGACAAGGTGCCTCTCCTGGGCTGACCTAAGTAGGCCTTTTTGTGCGATAATGACAGCTAAGGAAATAAATGCATTGTATTTTTTCACCTACATCTGAGTTTTTCTTAATCTGATGTTGAGGCTTACTCGTGTATCAGTAGTGTGTTTGGAGCTATGAAGCAAGAGTGGATTTATTCAGAACACTATTGCAGTAAACGAAGTAAAAGATTATAGTGAGGGAATGATCAGGCAATGGAGAATATACCTGGGTTCTAGAGACATCTCGGAGGTACCATCAACCAGACTGGTGATTAGGAAGGGAAAAACTAAAAGATTGGCCTGTGGGTCCTGCGCGTGAGTAGGAGCATGGACAGTAGTACTTTTTGTTACTACAGAGCAGAGGACGAGGAGGAGGCAGCTTGCGTGAGATCAGCCGCATTAGAGCTGTTAGAGCTGCTCTTGAGGCATCCCTCCAAGTGAAAAGGCCGAGTAAATGGTATAAGACGAGGGTTATTTTGATGTACAGAGAGTAATTTGTGAACAGGATGAGATTTTTTAAGGAAAATATAGAATGAGAAGAAATGGTCTAGCAAAGAAATGTCAAATCTGTGAGAGCTGTTAGAGCCCCCAATAAAATGATTTTTAAAAGAGAGAGAGAGACTTGTTCATCATATAAGAGACTTTCAACACTTTGGTGTAGAAAATTGATCAGAGAGGTAAAGGTTAAAGATTCAGGATGAAGGAGAGTTGATTTAGAAGACGCTTAAGACAATGAGAAGGAGTCCTAGTGGAGTAGTGGGTCAGCAGTGGGAACCCACAGCTGGAATGCTTGCAGGAGAATTCCTGAGCTAGCAAGATGGATGGAGTAGGAGACTGGGCTGCCTGTAAGAGTTAGTTCCCGTTTGCTGCCTCATTTCGAATCACCTTGTATACAGAATCTTAGGTTTCCCCTAATAGTATCTCTGATACTTTTGATCTATTACCTCTTTTGATATATTTGATTTGATATGCCATACACCACAGATATCCTAATGTGGATCTTTTGCTTTTTTAGCACCCTTTATAATGAGTCTTGATTATCTCCCTCATTTCTAGCAAGATAACTTAAAACTCACCATCTTCTCTGACGTCCTAACTGAGAGCTGCTGCTCATTCTGATACAGATTTTGCTGCCTTATGAAATGAAGCATATTCCTTGATATCCATCAACAAATTACACCTCAGCTGTTTCAGGCGTCCTCAGTTTCACTGGATCAGGGAAATGCGCTGACAGTGGTAAAAGTGTCATCCCGGAGAAACTGTCTCCCCAGTCTCTGCTGCTGCTTTTGTACGCGTCCCTTCGCCTTACCCCTGAATGAAAGTGACGGAGTGAGCAGATTTTTTTCTTCACATCTGAATTT